TATTAAATTCTATGAATCAAGCCCATTAATCACATGAAAAGAAATGCATTATAAGAACAGGACAGGTAATGCGTGCACACATAAATTATGGTCATTTACCATCATATTCAGGAAAGTAATCAACAAGATGAGAATACATGATCTTCTCTTCAAGAAGGTCCTTCTTGTTTAAAAACAGAATGACTGATGAATTCTGGAACCACGGATATGTTATTATTGTCCTAAACAGGGCTTTGCTCTCTTCCATTCGATTCTGTATTGGGGAAAAAAAGAAACGAGCTTCAGTGTCAAATTGTATACATATTAATGTACATAAAAGCTACTACAAACATATTTAAATTTGATGAATATCTTATTTAAAATGTTTGATGAAATTATAAACCAATACAAATGTCTAATTCGACTTGTTTCTTCTCATACAAGGTCTACTACATAATACAAAATTCTTTTAATACAATGAAATCAACACCCAGAGTAAAACATAACATAGTAATAGTCTTCATTTTTCTAAATCATTCTTAACTGTACAACCAAACAAAATAATGATCACAAGCTGCAGCTGAGACATTCCTTTTCTAATCAGTTAGGTTTACAACTGTTTAAGAACAGGAACAGTACACGGGATTAGGTCATCCAAATCACAATACTGGTGTTTCATTAGTTACAGTCTGGCATTTATTCTAAAACACATTTCATTTTATGATACATATCACTAACATTGCAAAGGCATCTGATAACAAAATATTTCTATACTTGTTTGTATCACTCTTTGTTATATAAAGGTAATACTTGGCAACTGTCGCTGCTTCTTCTATACTTTTCTGGTTTCGGACCACCAATATTTGCCCAGTAACCTCCTTTAAACCTGACATAAGCAATGATCATACGCAAAGCACATAAAAAAACAATTCAACACAGACTATAGCCTGCTCCTCCTCACACAATTGCTAATTGCTGTTATTCTGCCAACTGTCCAAAATATTACATTCTGAAATGGAATTGCTTGTGATGGTTTGGGGTAATCTCAGTTAGAGTCTGTGCAATCCAATATACTTCATGCAGTAGTTCCAGAACAGCAGGCCTTTGTTTGGCTTACCATCATGGTAAAGAATGCAGAATATTTCACTGTCCCTGTAAAGGATTCCTGAGCTGGAGATTTCTCAACACACTTCAACATTTCAGGATTCCGCCTGCCGCCTACAGCCCACATCTCTGCACAGTGCATAACAGACAAGCAGGCCAGTTTGCATAACCTTGTTTGTCCCATTCCAAGAAAAACCAGGAAGCAGTAGGAAAGAAACATGCCGAGCTTAAGCTGGCTTTAATACTGATCCACTTCTTAATTACATGAAACGCCACTAAAATCCCCCTAACACCACTGCAGGATGGGCAGCGTGCACCATTCCCAAACAAAATCCACTGCTCCAAATAACAAAAAGACCGCCCAACACAACACAATCCGTGTGCCGGTAACAGCTTAAATCTTTAGACACTTCTGGTGTTATAACGCACAGCAGGAAAAAAAAAATACTTCCCTGAAACACTTCCCAGTGTTACAGGACACTGCCAAGCGTTTACTACCGTTAAACAGTCGCTTTATTTACGATCATTTTTATACTCATCAAGGGAGAAAAAGGTGAGGGGTATATAACAGCAACGTTACAACAACAGGAAGGAAAAATATACAAAACAACAGGCCTGCAGGGATTCCCGCAGGAAAATGCTGAGGCCGGGTGGTAAATTCCCACAGATAACATGAAGCGGCACATTAACATTAGTCCCCCCAGCCCAGCTACCAACAGCTAGATTACTGTACTACAGCAGCTTGCAAACTACTAAGCTATCCTATTACTGTAACTTAACAATAAGTGATATTAATAAGATGTTATTTGACCACAGCAACTAGTTTGACTATACAGGACTCAGTCAAAGACGTAAGAGACTTATACTGCCACCAAAGGAAGAGCTTTGTGCTTGAAACGCATCGCTGTTGGCGGTTTTCTGTATGCTCAAGCCATTATTGTGTTTTTTTTTTTGCTATTGAGGTGCTGTGCATTATCTTGAGCTCATTGAAAATCACTGGCTTCCACTCCCTTTATTGTTCCTTAGAAATGATGTTCATCAACTTTTGCAAGTGACAAAGGGGCACAGTATCTCTCTGTGAGCCGATTATTTAGCTGTGAGGAAACCTTGCATTATTTTTTTATGTCGATTACTAACATAGCTCTCAGGGGCCTAAAACCCTCATGTGTGAGACTGTCCATTGAAAAGAGCAACGGCATATTGTTTTGTCTGGATGGTTTATTTTATATATGCATAAAAAACTCATTAGTTCATTAAGAGAACTGCGAGTCTCTACACCTACATCAAATTTTTACATTCATTACTGACCTTAGATTTGGTCCCCAATGTGCGATACGCGAGAGCTATGTGATTATGTACAACTGCAGCTGCTGGCTGAAGACTTTGGCAAAAGTATATTATTATGAAACCGTATTTTAATATAAATTATTGAGTAAATTTTGGTGGTGTTCACACATTTATTTGGCCAGGCAGCCTGTGTGGCCTGTAAGAAACCATGGCCACGTATGGGACACAGATTGAAAAACGGTTTCTCCCCCAGAATACAGGAAATCACTTCTGCAGATTCCGGAATTTATTCTGTCCCTGTGAACTTTGCAGGTGCTTACGGATTTTAAGGAACTGCTTAGCTTTGGGCAAGGTAAACGAACTTTTACTTTCATTAACAGCAACACAAGTAATCTTAACTGGAAGCCACACATCTCGTTACTGCATTTATCAAGGCTGTCCAGCAGGAATCTGCATTTAGGTCTGATGTGCATTTTGGTTCAGTCCTTTTAAAACAGTGCTCTGATCAGATTGTGACTGTGAAAAGCATTATTCATTTTTTTCTTAGATAAAGAAAGTGAACATGATAAAAATATACTTCAAGCATTGTGCAAGGATGTTGTGCACGTGTGGCCCATGCAATAAAGGTCAAAGATGACCTCCCCCAACACAAACACAAATTGCAGGGCACTTCAAACGAAATTCAAAAACTCTCTGAACTTGCAATTATTTAAAATTCAAGTATACCTTTTATAGGCTTGACTCCAAACCATTCCAAAGCAAAATGAATTTCTACACTGTTTTCTGCACCAGAGCACAACCTCTTCGCCTCCAGGGGTCGAGCAATGTCAGATGAAACAGCTCTCTTCCCAGAAATGAGTAGTCTTAATTATTTCCTTCCATCTCCCTAGACAATTCCTTTAACTCCTACAATGAGCAATACAAAGCATGCTGTGCAGCAGAGGAAACCAACAAAAAATTGCGGTACCTTTTACCTTCCTTTTTCAAAGGGCTTACCATAAACTGTGCTCATAACTACTGCAACTCTTTGAAAGAAAGAATCAAACAACACAACAACAAAAAAGAGAGAACACTAACAGGTCTTGCAGCCAAATGTTTAAGTATGGCAGCCAAGGACTTTAAGGGCTGGACTTAGATTTTTGCAGATGTCGCCAATTTTAACAGAAAGCACCTCATTTTATTAGCTTGAACACAAATATACAATTGTGCTTGATTTCCAGGTCCTTGCTTCCAATTTCAGTATATAAAAGATGTTAAGTTTGCTCAGCTGCCTCAAAACCTTTGAAACCTTAAGTTAAAATGTTCACACCGTCTATACAAAATCACATACAATACTAAAATGGACATGTGGATAGATAGCTGACACATCAAACTACTGTGTAAAATACAAACCTGCAGACTATACCACAGCACAGAAGTTTTTTTAACTTTAAATATTTTATTAAGGAACATTTTATCTGCACTACTGTAATACTGAGACTAATGCCATGACGTTTTTACTATAATTTTCACTGAGGAGTGAGGAGTTTCACCAGGAGAAACAAAAACCCTGGTCTACACTTCTTTTTGCACTACAACTTAACCAAAAGAACAAACTGTACTTATACATTCCTAGTAACACTTATCACTACTGGTTCGTGGTAAGCAGAGATAAAAGAAAAGGTGCCTACAGCCACAAGGAACATGGCCTGATCGAGTTTTAGAATGTAGATCATCTCTGCCAAATAAGAATATTCTGTTCAACCTAGAATGAACTGAACTGGACAGAGTTTTATATTCCACATTGGACTGAGTCCACGGAGATGGACCCAAGTTCACTTGCAAATTGAATCAGACATACAGAATGAAAGATGTTTTCAGACCAATATGTGTAATAAGTGGGTTTATTTGAAACTTAAAATAACATCCTGTGATTTTCTAACACAATTATCATGCTACTGCATAATTTTAGAATGCTTTTGGTGCTCCCCAGTAAGAAATGTAAAGAACAATATTGTCAACTCAGTGTAAGTGATAATATAAAATCATCTTGAAGCACTTGGTATGAGACCGATTTGGAGATTTTACCTAGAACTTACTATTTTTGACGAGACCATCGCCGAATAAAAATGTGTCTTACACTGCCCTTAGTTATTTGTTTCAGAAGATCTGGGACATTACAATGGAATGGAATGGCTCACATAAGCCAAGATTAGCTTTGTACATTCCATACTATGCTGTGGTATCCTGATTCTCCCCAACATGGACATCTCCTTACAGGGGTTTTTCACTGCAGCATTTAGAATGATAACTGCATTAAAAGACCTGGAATTGTGAAAGTCGTCTCTGCCTCTCAGATTTATAAAAGACACGCACTGAATGAAATGGAAAGTTGACACATACCCAGAGACCCCCATCTAAAGTGAACACAAAAGAATAAAACCCACTTCCAACTTTTTATTCACCTTTCAGTCTTTAATGTTATGAATAGTTAGAATAGTCTTGAAAAACAAAAATGAAACCATGCATTGGACATCAATATGAATATCTTAACA